CATTTCATTGCACTGTGGTGAGATAATATGCATGGAATAATTTCTGTTTTCTTGCATATACTTAAGCATGACCTGTGTACCAGTATGTGGTCTATTTTAGAAAATGACCCATGTGCAGCTCAGAAAAATGTGTATTCAGCTGTGTTTGGGTGGAACACTCTGCATATGTCCACCAAGTCCATTTGTTTCAAGCTCTGCTTCAGTTCTGTAATTTCTTTGCTAATTTTTGTCTGGATGGCCCCCTTGGGATACGGGGATGTTAATGCCTCCTGTTAAAATTGTGGTATTGGATATTAGATTTTTCATGTCCATTAAGTTTTTTTTATAGGGGGCTTGCCTCTTAGCTCAGTTCTTTATGTGGCTGCTTCAAGAAAGTAGTCAGCCTTAGGTTGCTGTGGTTCGATCCCCAGAACTCAAGCTAGCCAAATCTGCCTGAAGGCAGTCTGAGACAGGCAGGAAAAAAAAAAAAAAAAAAAAAGTTTTGCTTTATATAGTTGGGTGCGCCTGTGTTTTGGTGCATACATATTTATGAGTGTTACCTCTTCCTCTTGAATTTATATAGTGTATACTGGCCTTTATTTCACTTGATCATTCTTGGTTTGAAGCTTAGACTCTCTGAGAATAGGATTGCTACCCCTGCTGTTTTCTGAGGTGCTGGGCATGTAATATTGTTTTTCATCCTCTGACTTTCAATCTATGAATGTCTTTATGAGTCAAATGTGTTTCTTGTATACAGCGTATTGTTGGATTTTGTTTCCTAATCCCCTGTGCCAGTCTATTTCTCTTAATTGGTAAATTGAGTCCATTTATATTGATGGTTATAATTGAGATGTATTGACTTATGATTGACATGTTATTTACCTGTTGTTGTTTACTACTTTTTCTCCTGTATTTATTTGCTTGCCCTACTTAGTTGGTTGCTTCTGATCTCATTTGTGGAGTTCTCATCATTTTGGTCCATCTCTAGAACATCTTTCAGTAGCCTGTGTAGGGTTGGCTTTATCATCATGAAATTCTTTAGTTGTTCTTTGTCATGGAAGTATTTTACTTTTCCATGAAACTTGAAAGAAAGTTTTTCAGGGTATAGTAGTCTGGGCTGGAATTTGTTTTCATAGAGGACTTGAAGTACTCTGCTCCATGCTCTTCTTGCCTTCATGGTTTGTGAAGAGAAGTTGGCTGTAATTCTGGTGGGTTTTCCTTTGAATGTGATCTGCTTTTTTTCTCTAGCAGCTTTCAGTATATTATTCTTGTGCTGAGTTTCTGGGATCTTGACTATTATATGTCTCAGTGTGTTTTTAATGGGATTAAGGTTACTTGGCATTCTGTATGCTTCGGTTACCTGAATGTCTGATGGTTTCCTCATATTTGGAAAGTTTTTTGCTATTACTTCTGCCCATATTTTCTTTAATGTCATTTGTATTGTCGCCTTCTTTCTCATTGATGCCTATTAGTCTCACATTGTTCATCTTTACAACGTCTTGCAAGTGATGAATTATTTTTTCCTGCATCCTGGTTGTTTTTAAGAGATCTTTTCTTACGTTTTCACTAGTTGCATGAGCGTCTTCATGATCTGAAACTGTCTTTGCTTTCACTCAGATGGTTTTGCAAGCTTGTGATTGAGCTTTTAATTTCCTCTATATCTCTTTGACTCTGCTTCATGCGATGTTTCTTTCCTGTATTGCTCATTCAGCGAATGTGTCATCCTCTTTTTTTTTTAGTTAATGTCTTCTCTAGAAGCAGTTATTAATTCTTTTACTGCAGTGGTTTTTTCATATTGGGTTTCCTCCCTATATTTCTGTAGTTGATTCTTTACTTCAGATGCTATGAGTTCAGAGAATTTTTTTTATTTCTGAAAATAATTCCACTCTGAGTTCCTCTATAACTTTCTGCTGTTGCTTATTTACTATCGATGCTGTTAGTTCATACATCTTAACTGAGCTAGTGTCTTCTGCACTTGTTCTGGCTGGGCACCGGGTTTCCTACATATGTTTCTGCATTTGATTCTTCACTGCAGATGCTATTAATTCAGGGATTTCTTTTTGTAATTTCCAGTTTGAAATCCTTTGTACCTTTTTGCAGTTGTTTCTTTATTTCAGAAGCCATTGATTCATTGATTTCAGCTGTGTGATTCCCAGTTTCTTCTGTGTTAGTGTTCTCTGCACTTGTTATGGGTGGGTTTGGTGTCTGAGATTGTATTTTGCTCCTTCTCATTGTCATTTTGTGTAGCACTGTCTTCTGACCTTTGTTGTAGAGCTATGGTGCAGTTATAACCTTAGCACCTACTGAGATTTAGGTGCAGATCTACAAAGTTTGAATTTATCCAGCTGTGCCTGGCTTGGGTTGGGCTGTTGTGCTCACTTTCTTCCTGCTGCCCCCCTTGGGAGTGAACCTGTTTTGCCCCTCTGGCAAGATGTTCTGCTCCTGGACTAGCTGGGTGGTTCTGTCTCCTACTCTCTCTGCAGGGACTGCAGGTGCAGAGTTTCACCCCATGCCTGTATGCCAGGCCTGAGCTGAGTCTGAAAGTGACAAGGTGGAGTAGTCGGGAGAGGACGCTCTCCGACATACTCACGAGGCCTGGGCCAGGGCTGGATCTGGGGGTCCCAAGAATTCGGCTGAAGTTCTCACTCACTGGACGCGAGTAAGGGGTACTGCAGAGTGGTGGTGGGAAGTCCCTAGGGGGTGGAAGAGGGTCTCATGCACGCTCTGCCTGGGCTTGAACCAGACTGGTCCCGCTGGCGCAGGGTAGACGGAAGCTCTCCGTAGTGTGTTATTTTTACAGAATATTTTAAAAATACTTTTATTTTATTTGGAAAATTTTAAATCCTTAAGTGAAAAATTTAATTGTGGAAAGCATCCTTTTTTATTTTTAAGTATTCAAAAATGGTTACTTTAAGTAAAAATACAAGAGGAGCCAGCTCATGCTAAAAAATGCTGTCATATATTCATTATATTTTGGAATTAGCAAGTAGGATATTATACATTCTTAGCTTGCACCTTTTAACCACTGTATAAAAGTGAAAATAATATAATAGAGCTGTAATTTTCCACTGACTAGATACATAAACTGATATTTTTGATTAAAAAATGTTTTTATTGGGAATAGATTTCAAACCCTGTCAAATTGTCAGCACTTCTTATTCATATTAGTTTTATTTTGAGTTTTTAAAGTTCTTTTCAGAAATAATGTTAATCCATTTTATATTATTGTTTTAAAACCTTTAGAGATATTCAGGAGTTTGTTTTGACAAGATTGTAAAATACGTTCTAGAGCTAATTAAAACTAAGAACTTCATTTTGTTATACTAAGTTATAAATAACTGTGAGATATAATGAAAATAAAAAGTTTGTGACTATTTTTTAAAAAACATTTATGTATCATACCATGAATTACTATGGTATGTGGTAGAACAGTTTTTTGAATGATCTTTCAAATATCAATTGTATTTTAACTAGCTGCCTTGTACCTATATATTGATTTATCTGTAATATTAAAAAAAATTTATAGGGCATTTATATATTTAAAAGCTGGTATGAAGCTGATATTATTTTCCTAAATTCTGCATTAGAAGTTTAGGTGCAAATTTAAGACGATGTACTGTTATTTTTGTCTTTGAAGACCATAATATATTTTAGCAAATATTTACTACATTTGTACTTTTCTTTTCAAGATAAAACCAATGAATGCACATATATTTTTAAAATTGAAAGTTGAGTACTCATAATCTTAAAAAACTTAATAAAAAGGTGAACTGCAAAAGAAATGTTTTAATTACTTGATCAAGTTGCTAATTTCTTTTAATGTTATTTTAAAGGTTATTAAACCCTGAAAAGATCAAAATACTTAATTTGAGAGAGTAAAAGAAGTGAACCTGACCAATTATAGAAAACTTAAAAAATTATAATTAAAGCAGCCTTATTTATTTGAAGACTTTTAGCAAGACTTATTTTATTTGCTTCTTTTTAATGACATGTGTTAATTATTTGCAGATCCTGTGGTATTGTGGAAATTCCCTGAGGACTTTGGAGATCAGGTTGGGACCACATAATTTTAAAAAGACATTAAAAATTACAGTAGGATGATTGTTGTTTCTGTTACCACTACTGCTAGTATTCCACATGCAATAGTTCTTTTATCTTGATCAACTGTGAGGAAAAAGCATATGTGGAGAATATACGGAAGAACCTTTTAAAGGTACCAGCTGGATAAGTAAAAAAGCTTTAATAATGAAATGGTCTGATGTTAACAGCTGTAACATTTTCATACTCTTATTATAGAATATTTATTCAGAAACATTTAAAAATAATCTCAAAAACCTGATATTGCATAATATTTGCTAAATATATTTATTATTTCTATTTAGAAAAAAGTAGAACTGCTTTAATTTTTTTCTTGTCACAGTAATATCTGTACCATTTATGTTTAGAATTTAAGTTGGCACTGTAGTCTTATTTTTAAGTAACTTGCTTATTGCTTTATTTTCTGATAAAGTGTGGAAGACTAGGATGAATTAATTCCATTTGTATTTTAAATTACATTTTCTATTGTTCTTTAAATATTTAGTAGGACCAAAATGATGAAATGTTTGTAAACAATGTATAGAAATAGTAAAATATTTAAAATTCATAGTATAGATTTATCATTTGAAATTGAATTATATAACATATAGTTAACAACACAAACTTACATTTTGATAGAAATCAGTACTTTTTATTGAGTATCTAATGAATATACTCCTTTATTTTTACTGAAAGAAATAGAAAGCAATCTTATCACTTAAAGTTACAGTACTATAAACTTATAATCTAAGATAACACATAATTCTCTTAGTTTATAAAAATTTTGACAGAAGTATACTTTTAAGTAGTTCATTCAGAAGTAAGTATACAGACACATGATTTTACAGTATGTGAAAGGATACATTTCTAGATATGAAAGGCAATCTGAAAGACTTAAAAATTAGCAACTGACATAACAAGTTAATTAAGTGGGAATATAAAGTATTAGCTAGATGTAGTGCAACCCTTGGCCACGCTTTCAAATAAATGTATTATAAATATAGTTTTAACCTTTTATAGAAAGAAATATATTTATAAGTAAATATATAAAATAAGTCCCTGTCTTCAAGGCCCTTGGAAATAAGCCTAGCTGGAAGTGTTTCCCAGTAGAATACAAAGAATAGTCTTGCCGATTGATTTTACCATTTTGAAATGTTCATTTCTTGATCTTTTCATTTCTTGCTTGTCTTATTCAGGAATGTCTTCTATTTTCTTTCGTTTCTATTTTGTTGTTATTTATACCTCTAACAGTGGCCTTGAGAATTCTTAGGAGGTCTGGAGACTACTAACTTTGGGTTCACTTACAAGTGACAATGTCATTGTGCCCACTTACAGTAGAAGTTTTAGTGAGATTGTCTATTGCTTTTCCTCTTTGAGATTTTCCAAAATTGAGCTTGGAATTTTTTGGTTGTGGCAGAATTGTTCCTTTGTTTTCAGAACTTGTGAGGTCGATAGAAGATGAATGAGCCTTCATATGTTAGTGAACTACAAGAGCTCTTGAGCGTATTGTCTCTCTGATGTGAGGAACTGAAAGAGTAAATAAAGTCCAAAATGCACAGTAGATATGGTGAGATGGGAAGAAATTGTTCAAAAGGAAAAGGAACTAGGATGGGGGAAGAGGGAAAAGGAGGGAAAGGAAAAGGAAAAGTAATACAAGATAGTCCTACCGCTAGTTTCTCTTAGTTCTTTGAAAAGTTTATGCTAATATCATTTGGAGAATTTTATAAGCCCATATCATATGCTGATTAGCTACTTTAAACATAACAATACTCAATGCTTTAGCTGTTGTTATTTTCTTAAGAAATTTTGTCTTTTTCCATAAAAAGCAATTAATCATGTAATAATAACGAACATCTATAACCCTTAAGATTCCAGTTCATAGCAGTTCTCACAGTTCTTTATGTTTTTGGAAAGAACTGAAAGAGACTTTAGCTACCATGTTGTCTGATTACTTCACTATCTAAAGAAACAAAACTTTGTAAGAGATTTTAGCATAGGGCCTTAAAGAATGGTTTTACTTGTGCTTTTGGTGGAATATTGAACACTACAGAAGACAAAAATACTCTGCAAGTATTTCTTACCTGTCTTACTTTTTATTACTTTAGTCTACTATTTACTTCTTCTTTTTTTTTTTTTTCTACAGTTTTATTGATAAACATATAGCAATGAGACAGTTTCAAATCAAATCGGAAGTACAGTTTCAACAAATA